CAACAAAGGTATGCAATCTTGTGTTGGTGCATCGTGTAGTGATTGATACGACATTCATAGGTCGAAAACATGAATGGTGGAGAATTCTGGATGTTAGAATTGGGCTCTAAGGCTTATTTGCCTAAATAAAAGGGAGAAGTTTTAGACTAGCTCGCGTTAATGTGCTCAATTGGTTGTGGTAGCATGGGTAGGTGCACGAGGTGTTAAACAATGATTTTGGATAACTCCGACACACTCCTTAGCACGTTCGAGGATGAACGTATATTAAGTGGGAGAGAATGTAACGACCCAACCAGTCGTTTTGATTTTTAGAACCCCGTTCTCCTAAATTAAACTTCCCGTATGTGCTTTAAATGATTTATGACTTGTGGGGATGGTTGGTTCGGGATTTGGAAGTGTTTGGGTTGAAATCGGAACACTTGGTTCCTTAAGTTGGCTTTAAAAGGCCAAGTTTGACTTTGGTCAATATTTTGAGCAAACAGAGATCATGCAGACCACTGAAATAGAAGAGACTGAGCAAAACATGGGAATGCAGTTGCCATTTGGATCAAAGATGGCCATGAAGAAATGATGAAATACGGATACAGACCCAAAACCGGGCTGGGATCCTGATAAGATGGGATAACAGAGCCGATTAAGAAAAATGGGTAGAAAGGAAGATCCAGCATCGGGTAACAGCCTACGATTGGGAAGATTTGTACGGTAGCTTCGGGAATAAGGCCTTTGTGCTAGAGCATATTTCGAGTACGGGCCAAAGCTAAGCACCAGAGGACAACATCATCAATGGAATGGGAAGGGTGTTAATAACCATGATTGAGGAATACTATGAAGGAATTGATATCAAGACACCGACCATTCGGAATGCCAAACCAGGAGAGGACCTATGGAATTGGACCTCTAGCCTGTCGTTGATTCGCCGGGAGTCTTGGTGGTATGGAATTGTAAAAATTTTGGAAACAAAGTGCACGGTCAATGGAGGCCTGAACCGTCTCTGTACCTTTTAGTCATTTGCCTCTTTGAACGCTTAGACGTTCCTCTTTTTGATGAAATAAAAAGAATTGCTTTCTTAAAGTTATTGCACCTTTATTTATCGCTTCATTTATACCTAGTTTTTCTTTTTCAGTAAACAAAATGATAAAATCCTACGTTCCACGATTATGACATGTAACAAAACCCTCGAGCAAAGAGATCCACATTACGAGGAATACGTCGAGAGTATGATGCTAGATAATCTCCTACAAGAGATCTAACAGCTGGAAAGCTAGAAAAATCCTAACCTGGAAGAGACAAAAGTTGTTAACTTCGGAAGTGAGGAAGACGTAAAAGAAACTCGAATCAACATCCATCCAGAAGTAAAGCAGAAGGAAGAATTGGTCGAGCTCCTCTGACAATACATCGATGTGTTCGTATGGTCATATGATGACATGCCTTGGCTAAGTACTGATATTGTTTCACATCGATTGCCTACCGATCCCGCTAGACCACCAATCAAACAAAAACCCAAAAAATTCAAGCCTGGCCTGATTTTGTGGATAAACGAAGGGGTAACCAAGAAAATAGAGGCGAATGTAGTGAGGGTCACAAATTATCCGACATGGTTGGCAAATATCGTTGCAGTACCTAAGAAAGATGGGATGATCAGGATATGTGTGGATTATTGATATCTCAACAAAGCTAGCCCGAAAGATGACTTCCATTTACCAAACATTCATATCCTCATCGATAACTGCGCGAAGCATGAACTGCAGTCGTTCGTGGATTGTTTCGCTAGGTATCACCAGATCATGATGCACGAAGAAGCTGCCGAAAACACAACCTTCACTGCACCTTGGGTAGTTTACTGCTGTAGAGTCATGTTGTTCGGTCTCAAAATCACTGGCGCTACTTACATGGGGGCCATGAGACCCTCTTTGACGACATGGTTCACAAAGAGATCGAGGTATATGTGGATGATGTCATCATTATGAAAGTGAAGTTTCCTAATGGTTCGGTAGCCTCTCAAAGATAAGTACAAATATCTCTGTAACATTCACCAAACTCTACTAAACCTTCTCTTGACTCGTGAGACCTAATAACCAAGTGCCCTGATACCAACTTGTCATGACTCAAATCCCAACCTGTCGTGATGGTGCCTATGACATTACTAAGCAAGCCGACAAACACATAATCACTATGCATCTGAATTAAAACATGACATTTAACAAGTTCAACAGTGGAAAACCTTATAGATAACCGATAAAAACAACTAAAAATCAACAACAACAAATCCCAAAATCATAGTGTCACTAAGTACATGAGCCACTAAGTGTCAACACAGTCTAAATCTCTAATACAACTATTTGAAAAACAGAGAAGTACTGAATAAACTGAAAGGAAGGAGAGTCAAGGTCTGCGGACGTCATATCATCTACCTTAATAGTCTCCGAGCAAATACTACACCAAATTTAGCAACCACCGTATCCAGATATACCTGGATCTGCACACGAAGTTCATAGTGTAGTATGAGTACAGCCGACCCAATATACTCAATAAGTAATAGGACTAACCTTGAGCTGAAAGCAGTGACGAGCTCAGAAAGGTACAGTCCGAATCAAAATAATGAGAACGAAGATATAACAAGATAATGACAGTAATAACTCATAGAACATCCATATTCAGTTCGTAAACATTACAGAATTTAGACATGCTTTCAAGTTCAAAAATTTAAGCTCAACACTGATAAAATATGTCAAGTACAGCTAGCATGAGGAATGTTACATCTCTATGACTACATGTCAAATATGCATGTCAAATGTAATGCATCACAGTGATACCCCCAGGTACTCACGCTCTCAGAATACTCAATCTGTCTATCTCAACTCCCACTCATCACACAATTACTCAGCACTGTATGGTATTTGTGCTCATAGCTGGTATGTCAGACTCCTGAGGGGCGGATCCTGCCCAATCGCTAATATAAAGCCAACAAGGCCTACTGTGGCATGCAGCGCGATCCCATAATAAGTCAATAAAGCCTATTGCAGCGTGCAATCCGATCCCATAAATAACTGTTACGGCATGCAACCCGATCCCATAGATATCACCCACAATCCGGCTCTCAGGCCCCAACTCAGTCATCTATCTCTCCAGTCTCACGGACTCACAAATCTCATATCACTTAACTCGAACAATGATAATGTTGTAATAGTAAATGATAACAGAGACTGAGATATGATTTGACAGCAAATTTCGGGTTGTTTGACGGTAGTTTGTGTTAAGTTTTTGTCTAGTTTGAGTTTTGTTCCTTGTTTTGATGCTTGTGATCGGTTGAGCAATTATTTCTGCAGTGTTTAACCAGTTTTGAGATGCAGTCTTAGTCCGAATTCTACACTTTGGCAGCAAAATTTTTGCACTTTGAGGGAGCCAATATCTACCATATTTCTGCATTGTTTGAGCAGCAAAATTCTCCACAGTGTGAGTTAGAAAGACTGCCAGTTCTTTTACTGCAGTTGCTGTCAAGTTTTAACTACAGTTTGCTATAAATTGAAAATTCTAATGCTAAACAGCCATTGATCAGCTGTTGCTTGATATTGGAGACGACTTGAGGACAGTTTCAGATTTTTGGACAATTCATTTGCTCCGAAGATTTCCAACAGCCTGCAGGTCTGCCGGTTACTGTGAACCTGCCTATTTATGCAAAGACTACCAGTTTTTACAAAAATAGCTAGTTTTACAAATATGACAAAAATTGAAAAAGGTGTCTAGTTTTGTAGTTTCTTTTCTTTTCTTTCTTTTCAATTTGTAGTAAACTCTCAACTAGATTAACTTGATATTAGTTCATATTGAGTTTAATTCTAGTTTCTTGTGTACTTTGTTTATTACTTGTGTGCTCTGATACCAAGATGGTACGAACTACGACTGAAAATATGGACATAGAAAAATACACGGAATCAAAATAAGAGTTAGACCTACAATTGATTGAAAGAACAAGAACCCTAGGATAAGAAGCATAATTGCCTCTATGAACTCAATCAATTATAACCCTAAGCTATGAAAACCCTCAAGAGATTGGCAACTCTTGAAAAGCCGGATAAAGTAATTAAGTAATTAAGTAATTAAGCATTCACTATTAATTGTTCACTAACTAAAACTAATTTAGCACTAATAAAAGCATAAACAAAGAAATAAATGAACTAAAGGCATAAACATAAATGCATTAATTGAAAGATAAGGATAGAGTGTGAGACTTGCATATCTTCAAGTTTATCATTCATCAAGCCTACCTAAAATAAAAGCCTTAAGGGCTATTTTTACTAGAGTGGGTATTTCGTTACAAATAACTCAAATACCCCTAAGCTAATTCTAAGGAGCTAAGTGTAGTCAATTATTACAAGTATAGCCTTCTTGATCTTGACTCCTTTAAAGTACTCCAATGCTATGATGTTGACTTGAAAATCGTTTGGCATGCTCATCCGGCGTGTATCAAAATGAGACTTACCAATAGAAGAGTGAATAGTTCTATTATAGGCAAACTCTATCATGGGCAAATGTTCTTTCCAAGAATTTAATTTTTCTTTTAAAACAGCTCTCAACATATTCCCTAAGGTCCTATTAGCTACTTCCATTTGCCCATCAGTTTGTGCGTGACAAGATGTAGAAAATAGCAATTTAGTTCGCAACTTTCCCCAAAGAACTCTCCAAAAGTGTCTTAAAAATTTAGCATCCCTATCACTAACGATAGTTTTAGGTATGCCATGTAATTTAACCACTTCCTTCATAAATAAACCATCCGCATGTCATCATTAGTCTTCAGGCATGGAATAAAATTGGCCATTTTTGAAAATGTATCTACCACCACAAATATACTATCCTTACCATACTTAGTTCTAAGAAGTCCTAACACAAAATCATAGAAATATCAATCCAAGAAGAAATAGGAACATGTAAAGGAGTATAAACATCATGTGGTGACACTTTTTGATTTGGCTTGTTTACATTCAAGACATTGAGAGTACACTTTTTCAACATCCTTTTACATGCCAGGCCAAAAGAAAATGTTCAACAAGTATATTCAAAGTTTTGGGCAATCCAAAGTGTCCCATGAGTCCACCACAATGGGCTTCCCTAACAAACAATTCACGCAAAGAGCAATTAGGAACACACAATTTATTTTCCTTAAAAAGCAACCCATCTTGAAGATTGAACCTCTCATTAGGACCCAACTTACATTCTACAAATAGCCTTGCAAAAATCAGAATCATTAGAATAACGTCTCTTGATTTGATCAAAATCCATCAATTTAGAAGTAAGATAAAAAACCAAGACATACCTTCTTGAAAGTGCATCAGCAACCACATTCTCTTTTCCTTTCTTGTAAGCAATCATATATGGGAAATTTTCAATGAATTTAACCAATTTTGCATGGCGACGGTTAAGCTTACCTTGGCTCTTCAAATATCTCAAGGATTCATGATCAGTCTTAACCACAAACTCTCTTGGCCATAAATAATGTTTCCATGTAGCTAAAGCCCTTATAAAAATATATAGCTCTTTATCATAAGTTGAGTAGTTCAATGTAGCTCCACTCAGCTTTTCACTAAAGTATGCAATTGGCTTTGAGTCTTGCATCAAAACAGCACTAATATTCAACTCAAAAGAGGAGCAGAACACAATTATATTTCAATAAGTGAAAAGCATCATCTTGTTCTTTTTCCCATGAAAAAATCTTATCCTTCTTAATAACTTCAGTTAAAGGAGCAGCAATGGTGGTAAAATCTCTAACGAATCTCCTATAAAAACTAACAAGCCCATGAAAACTCCTAACTTCGGTTACAATGTTAGGTTTATGCCATTATTTGATTGACTTGATTTTCTCTTCATCAACTTCAACTCCCTTAGAACTGACCACAAAACCGAAGAATACCACACGATCCATACCAAAAGTACACTTCTTAAGATTAGAAAATAATTGTTGCTTTCTAAGAACTTCAAAAACTTGTTTTATTTATTCCACATGCTCATATAGATTTTTAGAATAAATCAAGATATCATCAAAATAAACCACCATAAATCTTTCATTAAAATCCTTAAAAATATGATTTATCAATCTCATAAAAGTGTTTGGTGCATTAGTCCAGCCAAAAGGCATAACTAATCATTCATAAAAGCCCATATTTGGTCTTAAAAGTAGTTTTTCATTTATCTTCAGGATTCATTCGAATCTGATGGTAACCTCTTTTTAGATCAATTTTAGAAATGATTTTAGATCCATGCAATTGATCCAACATCCCATCAAGACGAGGGATAGGATGGCGATACTTTACCATTATCTTGTTGATTGCTCTACAATCCACACACTTTCAACAAGTTTCATCCTTTTTGGGTACCAATAGGACAGGAATAGAGCAAGGACTCATGCTCTATTTCACAAAACATTTCTCAAGCAACTCCTCAACTTGCCTTTGAAGTTCTTTTATCTTTTCTGGAGTACTCCTATAAGCAGGCCTATTTGAAATTTGTGCTCCAGGCACAAAGTCAATTTGGTACTCAATGCCACACAAAGGTGGTAGACCTTTAGAAATATCCTCAGAGAAGTCATCATCAAAATCATGCCAAAGAGAAGAAATACTACTTGGCAAAGAAAAAGTTAGTAACTCAGAAGTAATGAAAAATTCTTTATAAGTAAGTAGTATTATGGGAAACCCCTCTTTTCTTGCATTCAAACACTCTTTGGCTTTTATATAAAAAGTCTCTTGTTTCTTTTCCTTTGCCACTTTCTACTCACCAAAACTTTAATTTTTATCACTCAAACCCTCTTTTACCACTATGCTCAAGTTGCTGCCCTCTCTCTCTCTCACTCTTGGCCATCTCTCATTTTTTCTAGCTCTTGTCCTTCTTTCTTTTCTTTTCCCTCAAGCTCACGTTTTCTCCCCCCCCCCTTTGTTTTCCTATTATTTTCCTCAATCTCTTTTGATCTTCAAACACTTGAGAAGGACTTAATGGTGCAAGAGTATACTTCTTGCCATTAAGCTCAAGAGAATATCTATTCTTTCTCCTGTCATGAAAAACATTCCTATCATATTGCCACAGATGACATAACAAAATGTGACAAGCTTGCATGGGGACCACATCACAAAGAACAACATTTAAGGAAATCATGCATTATTTGTTGACTTTTAGTTCACCACTATCATTCAACCATTGGAGTCTATAGGGCTTAGGGTGTTTCATGCATGCAAGTTCTAACAGGTTCACCAAGTGTGAATTTATCAAATTAGCACAACTACTACTATCAATAATCATATAACAGGTTTTCCCCTTTATTCCACACCTAGTATGAAATATACTCTCCCTTTGTTCTTCACTATTGATTCCCAAATTGATAGTCATAATCCTCCTAACTACCCCAAACAAACCATCATTAAAAGGCAACTCTACATCATCTTTATTCACACCTTCCTCTTATTCCTCTTCCTCACTTTTTTCTCCCTCATTTTCTCCATCTATAGTCCTCTTACCTATTTACACCCTATGTTTTTCTACGTGAGAGTACGTTGTAACTCAATTGATGTAAGCTCAGAAATGCGATCGTCTTTGAAAGAACATAAAGTAAGTTAATCATGTTACCTTTGAGGTTAAAAATCTTTAAGATCATGGATAACAATTACCAAGAGGGTTGAAAGGCTTAGAAGCTAAACAAATTGAAGAAAATAAGTTTTGTCGAATGTCGACAAGTTGGGAATGTTATAATATGTACTTTTGGGGCGTTAATAGAGTGCTTAACATGATAAGGAGGTTATGTTATGAGCTATTTTAGTCGTATGATAGTTGTGTTTTATGTTTTGAAGTTAAGCGAGTTGTGAAACAAAAGTTGGCAAAGGTCATCACAAGTTACATTAATAAATGTGCTCAAAAAATTAGGTCAAATGTAGCTGCATTTTTCTCCCAATAAACTTGGAATTACAGGATGATCCACCTACCAAATTTAAGATCTATGAGTCTTGTTTCTAATGCATTAAACTATTTTTTGATAACAACATCCAAGTAAAGAGATACTCGCATTTTTGTGAGACAGTGCAAGTAGCTCCTAATGGGACCCACTTAGGCGGTGGACGACCCTTGGACATTTTAAAGGGGTTGGACGGCTCATTTTTGGTCATTTTCGAACATTTTAAAGGGGTTCACAAACTCTCTCAACACCTCTCTAACAGTTCTCCAAGGTTCCAAGTCGAATCCAAGGTGGTTTTACCTAAACTTAGCCTCAAAAGTTAGCCTAAGTGAAGAAGAGAGTCTCTATGGTATTGTGATGTATTTAAGGGTGCTTGTAAGCTAAGGAAAACTTTGGTTGGAGTTTGTTCTAATTATTTCTGGTATGTATAACACTCTATTTCTTGGGCTTGAGCTTATCTATGTGTTGGTTATTTGGATGAAGAATTACAGGATAGAACTTGAAGTTGTATAAGAAGTTGATGTCTCGTATTGGATTATTTTGGTGTTATGTATATGACTTCATATGGTTGAAAATCGTGGGGAATATCTTGGTTATGATGTTCTTATTATTTTTATGCTTGTCAATAGGTTGAGTATGTTGATGATCTTGTAAATAGGAGAAGAAGCAACCACACAGTACCTAGAAGTTGTCCATATTGTTATATCTTGTTGGGTTGTATTATGTTACTTTTATGATGGATATAATGTTGGAATGTCATGTCAATATATATGTTTATATGCTGGACCTGTTGATAGTTTTGTACGTACAGGGGAGATGGGAAAAGAAGTTGGGGGTTGGTTCCAATTCAAGCTTGTCGCTTATCGTGTTAAATAGTAGTTCTATTGGTGACGTTTGTGCACTTGTTATTGTATAGAGTGAATTATGTTGTTGGGGTGTTGGGTGTGTTGTGGTGCTGAAAGTATATAGTTGAAGGTTGTATGTGCTCTTGTTGTTTTTATGGACTTAGGGAAAGCAAGGAAATCATGGGATATGCTGCCCGTTTTAATATAAAATAAGCTTGTCATTCGTTGTACGATAGTTGTATTATTCGTAGCTTAATGATAGTATTATAATCGTTGTTGTAGATTAAAGTGCGACGATACGAGTTTAACGTGGTCATTGGACAGACTGTGATAAGCTATCTATCCCTTCTTTTCTTTTGGCATGATCCATAGATACAAACGAAAGGAGCAAACGGGCTTTCACAAATGACTATATTCTTAGAAGAACTAAGGGTGCCTATGTTCTATATTCCCCATGTGTCCTATTATTATCTCGTCTGTTTATGGGTCTCAGAAAATACCTAAGTTGATAATGTTTATTTCATAATATTAAACGAAGGCATATTAATCATACGACATTCCAAGAGATCTTTTTGACTTACTTCATTATGCATTACATTCATTTATATATGTACATTGACCCATGACCAGATGGTGTTATATACGTATATATTATATGTATATGGGATATGGAAAAAGGTTATGGCATTACATACACAACACCTGATCAGCTGGCATACGTTGATGATTCCGCCCACTAAGGCCGAGATGATATGATGAGATGCCCTCAGAGGTTTGATAATGTTATGTATGCATATACCTACGAATGATATGATATTTATATGCATATACATGACACTATAAAGGTTTCATGACTCACTGAGCTATTCAGACTTATAGGTTGAGTCATTTACTCCATGTTTCTTTCATGTGTTTTATATACTGCTTTTCATGCCTTACATACTTGGTACTTTATTCGTACTGGCATCCCTTTTTTCTTTGGGACGCTATGTTTCATGCCTGCAGGTCCTGATAGACAGGTTGACAGTCTTCCTAGTAGGCTATCAACTTAGTGGAAGGTGTTAGTGCACTCCACTTGCTCTGGAGTTGCCTATCTGGTCAGTATGCTTTGGACATGTATTGATTGGTGTGGAGGGGCCCTGTCTCGAACTTTATAATGTTTATGCACGCTTAGAGGCTTGTAAATAGATGTCATGTATATGGATACTTTTATGGCCTTGTCGGCCTATGCTTTGAGTGTACAAATGATCATGTCGTCCTTATAGGCCCGTATGTGACATGTATAACTTTCAATATCGTGTTGGTTCATTATATGTCCAGTATTCCCTTATGTTTTATTATGGTTATCTCATGACAGACTTTCTGACTCATTTACTTATGATAGTATGATAAGAAAGGTGTTGGTACTCGGTTGAGTAAGGCACCGGGTGCCCGTCGCGGCCCTGCGATTTGGGTCATGACAAAAGTGGTATCAGAACAGTTCTGTCCTAGGGAGTCTACAAGCCATGTCTAGTAGAGCCTTGCTTATGGGTTTGTTGTGCATCACACTTATAAGCAGGAGGCCACAGGGCATTTAGGACTGCCATCTTTTTTTCTTACTCTACATCGTGTGGTAGAGCTAAGTTGTAAGAATTCAAACTCCTAAATTCTGTTTTATTCGTAATACAATGATACCTACATCCAGAAAGACATTTGGTATGAGATTGAATGTAGCTGTGGAAGAGTTGAGTAAGAGGAACTCTATTTTGCATCATGCTTATGATGAGTAAATGTGAGGTCTTTTGCAGATCATGTGTGTACTAAGACATGTAAGCTTCATGATAAGGATCCCTAAGGCATGAATATCTAATCTATCCACCCATATGGTAGAAGGAAATAAGAGAATCAGAAGGTAGATACAAGTTTCAACAAGTAAAGGATGCAAGGTGAAAAAGGGTACGAGGTACCAAGTTAGTGAAGATTATCAGTATTTACAATTCAGGCAGAGAAATATAAGTATTCTGAGTTACCTTCAACAGTAATAGAGGTATGTACTATTGGCCACACCCATCTCAGTTATACCCTATGGGAGCTAACAGATATAGTTTAAGAGAAGGATAGAATATCATGATCCAGATGGGGTTAGAGTAACCCAAAATGGTGGATGGATTGTTAGCATTAGCTGAACTTTTCTAAGGATATTGCAAATGTGATAGTAGTTCTCCTTGTGAGATACCCAGGTAGTGCACTCTAGAATAAGTATAGTTAGATATGGATATTAGAATGTTCAGAAAATTTAGAAGATAGGCACTAGAATCCTAGAAGGGATAAATATTTACCTTATTATGGCTCCCGTCCCTAGTAAAGAGAGAATGTTAGGTGACCCGATGAGCCAGTGGATGGAGCAATTGGAGCTAAAAGCAAAAGAATGTTTTCTTGAAGTTTTCAGAATAAGGATATAGGAAGAAATATTAGCAGTAGAATAAGAAGAGAGTAAATGAAGCATTATGAGTAAGATGTGATAAATGGGTGATAACGGTAAATCAAAATATGACCGGATGACAGAGTCTATCATCATATGAAGGAAAAGACAGGAGGTGACAGGTCTTGAGACAATAAAAAAGTATAAGCCATAAAGTCATGTCCTCATTTCGAGAAATGAGTTGGTGACTTGAACGTGATTACCAGAAGGCTAAGTTAGACCCCCGGAGTAATAGAAATTAGTATGGGCTAGTGAAGAAGATAAACTGAACATGAATTAAGAATCCGAAGATTTGATAATAGTCGGCATCGTGAGAATCTCAGAGATAGTATTCCGGCAACAATAGAATAGACAACAAAAGAATAACCTTTAAAGTCCAGTTAAAAAGACGCTTCCCTCGAGCAAGCACTGTGAGCAGAGTTAAACTTAAAGGACTAAATGTGCCAGTTACACTAGGTGTCACCCTTGTGCATAAAGAATTCAGTTATCCCTGGTATAGAAGGGTTACCGTAAGGCGGGTAAGCGTCATTGATGATGTGAAAAGACGCCAAAGAGGAAGAGGTAAAACATCTATAGGTAGATCGTCATAGCACTAAATCTTAATACTCCCCTA